GGGGGGGGGGGGGGGGGGGAGGGGGCTTTGCACCGAAGGGCAGGAGGGCCGTTCCGGCAAATGCCAAGGGCAGGAGGACCGTTCTCGCAGACGCGAAAAGAAAAAATGAACGACAAGCCTTGGCTTGGCCCTCCGATTTGAACATCGCATGGCCGTTTATCGCCCCTGGGAAAAGGCCTGCTGGGCGAACGTCGGACCCGTCGTCGGGGCGGTGGGCTACCAGGATGAAAGAACGTCACACTGGATAACCGCGCGCAGGATTCCATGCAAGCGGCCCTCCCAGTTCAACCTCTCCTTCCACACAATCCATCGTCTTCGACGCCACTTGCGCTGAGCTTCGCCATCGTCGTCGTCGTCCCAAAGCTGCGCCATCGTCGTCTTCCGGCCCTTGACGAGCCATCATCGTCGTTCGCCCCGGGCTGCGCTGCGCCGTCGTCGTCCTCCTCCATCGACCCCCCAGGTGCGCTCTCGACAGGAGACTGTCCCGCTTCGCGCGTCGTTGTCCCACGGTCGCGCGCGTCATCATGGGACTTTTCGTGCGTATTTGCATTACCAAAATGCTTTGCTGCTGGGTGTCGTCGCTTGCTTGGATGTCATGTTTCACTCCCGTCCACTCGCGGTCTACCTCCTTCTTCGTGGTGTGGAGAGCTGGTCGCGCACACGACTGGGGGTGACGTGGACGCGTGCGACGTCGAGTGAGACAGATCGCCTGCCACAGAAAGACAAGAAAGTCCACTGCTGCGTACCACGCGTCGTCGGTCTGAGACAACGCAGACTTCTTCCTCGAGGACAAAGTCGTTGTCGACCAGTCCCGTGTTGTCGACGGGGGGCCAGTGCTGCATGATGTCAAGCAGTCCCATGGCGGCATGATCGGGCCAGCACGAGCGCGGAACTTGCCAACGCGTTGATGCCGCCGGCAGGCAACGCAGGCTTCTCGTCCTGCGCTGCTGTCTTGCGATGTCGACGGAGAACGAGGTTGCCGTCGACTTCATGTCAACACCACGCGAAAATCGGTGGGGTGGTTGAACAATGTGACCGCTGAGATGTTGGGTTCTCGCCGTCATGTGCCACGTGGGCCGCAGGGCGCTGTTCGAGGTTGGACAAGAACATTGTGCCGCGTCACCGACATTTGT